TTTATGCCAATCGGAGAGTTTGTGATGTTGCATTCATGGTTGGAGAGAGGGTTTTGCTCTGAGTTTCACCCATGAAGGGTGTGATGAGGTTCAGAAAGAAGGGCAAGTTGAGCTCTAGGTATATCCGACCCTTTAAGATCCTTGAGAGAGTTGGTGAGGTGGCCTACAGGCTTGTATTGCCACCTAGCTTATTAGCAGTTCACCCGGTGTTCCACGTCTCCATGCTTCGGAACTATCACGGTGATACGTCCCATGTATTAGATTTCAGCTCAGTCCAATTGGACAAGGATGTGACTTACGAGGAGGAGCCGGTGGCCATTCTAGCTTGACATATCCGAAAGTTGAGGTCCAAGAGTTATCCTTCTGTTAGAGTGCAGTGGAGAGGTCAGCCGATCGAGGCATCTATGTGGGAGTCTGATTCCGATATGCAGAGTAGATACCCTACCTTTTCACCAGTTCAGGCACCTTTCTATGTCTGTTCGAGGACGAACGTTTGTTTTAGAGGTGGAGAATGTGATGACCCGATAAGTCATTTTGTGTTCTAGCACTTATTTCAATGTTTCGAGACCTCGATTAGCTTCATTTAATATTTATCGATTTGCATGCACAATCCGCGTCCTTTTTCGAAAAGTTTTAATGTAAAACATTGAAGAAAACATGAATTTTAGTCTTAAAAATAATTTGAGTTGACTACGATCAATATTTTGTGTAAATGAACTCGGATCGGTATTTTGACGATCTGGTGGGTCCGTATCATGATTTTGGACTTGGGCATATGCCCGAAATTGGATTCGGAAGTCCCTAACTTGATTTGGCATGATTTTTTGAAAACTAGTAACTTGAAGGTTTCAAGATTTCCGAAGTTTGACCGTAGGTTGACTTTATGGATACTGGGTTCGGATTTTGGTTTGATGAATTGGTATAGGTTCATCTTACTATTTAAAACTTGTTTGCAAAATTTGGTTCAAAACGGAGTTGATTTGGTAGGATTCGGACGCTCGGTTGTGAATTTGGAAGTTCTTGAGTTTCTTTGAAAATTTTATGCATTTTGATGTCTGATTCATAGTTCTAAATATAATTTTTATATTTTGATCGTGCGAGCGAGTTCGTATGATGTTATTACACTTGTGTGCATGTTTGATTTGGAGCCCGCGGGGCTCGGATGAGTTTCAGATAGGCTACTAGTCATTTTTGGACTTAGAGTTGCAGGCTTCAGCTGGGTTTCTGGTGTCTGGTGCAATGTGTTTCGCGATTGCGAAGCCTGTTTCGCTGTGGCGAAGGGGAACCTAGGCTAGGGAGGAATTCCTTCATCGCGAACGCGAAGCATTGTGGGGTTTACACTTCGCGAGCGCGTAGGGTTATGGGGCCTGGGAAGGGAGTTGTGTGGTGTTATATGCGAATGCGATCCTAGGACCGTGAATGCAAAGGCCAGGGGGAGAGGCCATCGCGAATGCGAAGATCATATCGCGAACGCGAAGGCCAGTTGGTCCGCGGGGGTTTGCGATTGCGTCAGGTCCTTCGCGAACGCGAAGAAGACCTGACGCCAGTGATTTAAAACAATCCAAAAGTCGGGATTTATCACATTTCTCACCATTTTCAAGTTTGAGCTCGGCCTAGAGGCGATTTTGAAGAGGTTTTTCATCCCAACTTCATAGGTTAGTAGATTTTAACTTGTTTCCTTATATTTTCATCACCCATTGATTTTAACCTTTAATTCATGCTTTTTCATGGTAGAAATTAGAGATTTAGGTAGAAATTGGAGATTTTGAGAAATTGAGTATTAGACCTCAAATTGATGTCGTATTTTGAAACTAATCACATAACCGAGCTTGGGGGTAAATTGGTAATTGAGTTTTTATCCAAATCTCAATTATTTGGCCAAGTGGGCCCGTGGTATACTTTTGTTGACTTTTTTCCAAAAATACGAAAGATTGAATCTTTTTCACTCGTGGGTAGTTTCTGAAGCTTACTTTGAATTATTTGAACTATATTTGGTTAGATTTGAGTGGTTTGGAGGCTAATTCTAGAGAAAACATCGCGGTTGAGCATTGATGAGTGGGGATTTTGACTATTTATTAGCACCTTTTTACTTTCGTTTTAGTCTGAAAGCGTGTAATTGTATTCCCGAAAACTAATGGAATATGCTTAATTATAGGAGTAATTGGAAAATGAGCCACTAAGATGAAATTCAACTCAAGAAGGAGTGATCTGAACTCAAGGACAAAATGAGGCACAAAAGCTCAAAGTGCGGACAACATATTTTGATCTGCGGCCGCAGATTGCGAAGGAAAGTTTATCAGAGTCCAAATGCAAAGTGTGGTCCGCACATGAAATGTGAAGCCGCAGAAGTTAAGCAAGATCAGAAGTTCAAAGAGTTCTTATCCCAAGCTCAAAGGAAATGCGGACTGCATAATTATTGTGCGGCCGCAGAAGTCAGCTATGCGGTCGCACTCAGAAATGTACGGTCCGCAGAAGAACCCTGTGCGGCCGCACGCAGAAAAGTGCGAACCGTAGAATATGAGAGATGCGGCCGCGGTTCAGAATTGTGCGGCCGCATATTTAAATCCTGTCAAGACTGAAGCAGAGTGCGGACCGCACATGGAATTGTGCGGCCGCAGAACCTCCAAGAAGTGTAATTTTGTCCGAAAATTCCAGCACTGTATAAATAGAATAGTTTCACTTTTTTTTTAGGTTAACGGATGTACCTTTGACATCAACAGTCGTTTACTTTGCTTCTTTTAGTTATTTTTTCCATTTTGATCTTTTTGAATATTAGTTTTATCATTTCAATCATTAATATGGGTTTAATTATCACTTCTTCTTATTCTTCATCTCCTAATTTAAGCATGAGTAGCTAGATTTTTACTAGGGTTGTAACCCAACTCTGGGGTGTGAACTCAATGGGTGTTTTGCTTGTTTATGGTTGGGTGTTGATTATCTAGCCTTGTTCTTGCTTTTATTTGAAGATTTAATGGTTGTAAACATTATCTCATGCCTAATTGACTTGGTCTCTACTTGAGAAAGAGAGACTTAGTCTAAGAAAACTTGGCTAACAAGAAATTGGGTCAATCGAGAGATTGATAAACCCAATTAAAGGGTTGAATCTAGAGATAGTACAACCAAACTTGAGCTTATTATCAACTGCTTTGTTCAATACCCATTTGGACTTGAGAAAGCCAAATTGGGCAAAATCACTCTCTGACCGAGAGGTATTGAGTGGGTACTTGAGTGTTGATAGCTATAATATACCCCGACCAAGAAAACAAACTTTAAGGCTTATAATCCATTAAGCGAATACCTAGGTGAAGGTCATAGCCCTAGGCCTTTTTACCATTTGAAAAACAAACAACTATAATTTGCTAGTTTTAATTCTTAGTTGTTATTCTTGGTTTAAAATAGATTTAAAAACAAACCAACGTTTGAGGAAGTGTAATCCGAGATAATTCAAGCTCATTCACTCGAATATATACTCCTAAGCCCCATTCATAGCTCCCTGTGGAAAATCGACCCGACTCCTTGTTGGGTACTATTATTTCTCCAACCATTTCACAACCCCAAATAGAGGTGTGGCTTGGACGAGATCAAGCATTTAATTTGGTTGCGGAGTGAGGTAAGTGTCGTGGTTAACCATGACTTGAAGGATTAGGACTTGTTGGTCTATTTGCTACGTATTTTCTGTGTGGGGACAATGTATATGTGAGGTTCCGAGTACCTATGTGTTGTCATTGGGTTGAAGCATGCGTGTGAAAATTATTTCTTTGTATTATATTTTTTCGTTAGTTATGTCATCTATGCTTAAGTTAGATTATCATTTCTTTAATTATTTGTTTCGCATTTATTGCTTATTTTAAAGAAGTTTGATGTCATGGCAACACATTTGAAGTTAAATTATTTCCCGCATTGTTTATTATTCAGATTTATATTATCACATAGTGAGGACGAGAGTAAAATCACGAAGGGTGATGCCGTGTGCCATTTCATTCATATTATTACATGGTGAGGATGAGAGTAAAAGCACGAATGGTGATGCCGTGCCATTTCATTCATATTATTACATGGTGAGGATGCGAATAAAAGCACGGAGGGTGATGTCGTGCCATTACATTCATACTATTGCATGGTGAGGACGAGAGTAAAAGCACGATTATTTTTATATCATTGATTTAATTGATTTTCGATTTTGGTGATTTACTTGGTTATTTTGTGTCTTCATACTTGCTGTATTTATTATATCTTCCCCTTTTCTCTTGTCCCCTCCCAGTTAGTATTTTATCATTCTTCTTGTTATTTTGCTGCTTTATATACACTTGTACATGTTTAATTACGTAGGTGTCTTGTCATAGTCTTGTCACTACCTCGTCGAGGTTAGGCTCGATACTTACGGAGTACATTGGGTCGGTTGTACTCATATTACACTTCTGCACTTCTTGTGCAGATATTGGTATTGGTCGCAGCGATATTTGAGGTGCGTCAGCTCGGATCACTTTCACACGAAGACTCTAGGTAGATCTGTTGGCGTTCGCAGACCTTGAAGTCCCTTTCCATTTTCCACTTTTACTGTTTATCTCTTTCGAATAGTTGTAATTATTTCAGACTATGTTTGTAGACTTATAGTTGCTCGTGTACTCGTGACTCCGGATTTCTGGGAGTAGATATTATCATGTGGTTTATATTAGCACTGTATTAGATTTGGCATTTATTTCTCGTTGAATATCTTTATTTTGTTTTTAACAGTTAAAATTGGTAAATTACTTATTTCACATCGTCTTGCCTAGCAAGTGGATATTAGGTGTCATCACGACTACGAGATTGGGATTCCGGATCGTGACAGATATCCTTCGCTTTGTTCTAAAAAATCTCATTGATTTGTTTCTTAATAGTGCATATGTTGAAAGCAAACCTTGCAAACCAATAAAAAGGGGACGAAAAAAGAAGAAATATATAAATAATTAAACGTTCATGTATTGCCAGCAAATAAAAGTTAACCTTATCGGAATTACCTGAATAATAAGGAGGGACGGTGCATGCAAGTCATCGCGCACATCCGTGAAGAATTTCTGCAATCTTGATTTATACAATTCGGCATCGTCAAGATTCCGAGTGTCACTCTCTCCTTGATACCACAAAAGGGCTCGAAGTGTCCCACCACATTGTAACGCTGCTTGAGTTCTATTTAGCATCTGATTGTAAAAGAACGATCCTTGAGACCATTGGCTAATATTTGTTGCACCAACAGCACATGGAACCAAACCTATAACACCAATTTCAGGGTCATTTTTCAAGACAGAATTAGCAAATGACATGCTAGGACCAATCCCACAAACTGCATAGAAATCAATATCTTGATGAATTGTTGGCTCTTTTGCTTCCTCCCAAGAAAGTCCTGATGTTAGCCTGAGAATAGATGAATTGGACTGACATTCAAGTGGTATATATCCATCCCAAATGTCATTCACAACCCCTCCTCGGCCAGACATGTTGCTTTGGCCTGCTAAAATAAATATGTTTTTGTTGCAATTTGCTTTCGTGACCCAAATGGGGTGTGCCAAAAGAATTAAAAAAAGATAGGGCATCATCATCGTTTTCTTGGGGATGTAGTGTTGATATAAGAAAGAGAGGTGGCTTTTTTGTGCTAAAGCATTCTGCACTAAATACTACCGGTGAAGCCACGGTTGGAATCATATTTTAGGTTGGCAAACATGCATATGGTGGTATTTTTAATAATAGAGCTAAACCAATATCCACCATTGTATCAGGTCACATTTAATTCGGAATTATTATCCAACCCTCCGTAATAATGCCACAAATTGTAGTATTATTAATTTCGAAATTGCATTGTATCCTGGGATTGTTATCCCTTATTCCACTAACCAAACTAGCTACTCCTACGGTAATATGTGCAAACAACAACTATAGATAGAGTTGGAATACAGTTCAGAATTCTCTTAATTCAAAATCCAAGGCGTTTAAATTGTTGAATCTGCCCATAGCTTGGTGTGTGCAGCATGATTAAGATTATTCTAAGGAGCTTATGCATGGATTCAAATGCTTATGGCGAAAGTATTAAATTGGAGAATGAATAGGTCAGATGGCGAGTTAATGACCAGCCCATGCCCAAAGATTACTTGGGTCTGAAATTTCTTTTTTGCATTACTTGGTTTGGACGGATTGGGTCAAATATAGGCTAAATTTCTTTTATATATATATATATATATATATATATATATTCTTTATTATGGTTATATCTAGCATATCAAACTTTTAAATTTTTCTTTTTTGACAAGTTTACTAATGGATCAAATTGAGCTACATATTTCACCCAAATCAGCTCAACTCTTAGATGGGATGACTTAGCTAGCGTTTGAACATAGATTTTGTTGAAACTTGAAAAATGAGTTTTTGAAGTTGTGTTGAAAAATAACTTTTGGAAGTTAAAGTTATGTCTGGACATGCATTTTATTTGAAGAAAAAAAAAGGAAATTTCAAAAATTGGTTTAGGGCATTTGGGAACTTGAAAATTTTTATCAATTTTTTTTCAACAACTAAGTATATTCCATGAATAAATAATGTTTTTCAATTTTGTATTAAAAAAGATAGTCAAAATTTATAGCCAAGCGGGAGTTTGAACGGTACTCAAATTAACCGGCCATGGAAATATGAGTAGGTTGGGCAGGTCATATTTTTATGAGTTAATTTTGTCACCGAATTAATAGATTCCTTCAACGAATCTTAGCTTAGTCAATGTAAGTGATCTAATTTGTTTACATTTATGATGAAGAAAATACTAGGCAAACTAATATCTCGCGAATTATTTAGAGCGACAATAGCATTTCTTCTTTCTCTCTTTCATCGTTACCTCTGTAATGACGCGATTACATTCCAATTTCGATTATAAGTGTACTATCTTGTTTCAGATGTCAGATAACGTGATGATTTATGGGATTTCATTTGGTATGTATAGTTTAATAGTAACTATACATCTCAGTTGATAATTGCTCGTGTTTGTATAGTTTATTGAAGTATCTCATTTGTGGAGAACACACACAAAAAAAGGGATTCGTGGATATCGTTGAGTACAGTTTATTGTCCAGGTGGTTACCAAAGAAGAAAATAAAATTTACGCATGTTTCTATAGTTTATTGAACTAATCTCAAATAATCATTTGGCCCTAGAAACAATTGACTTTGATATAATTGCCAACAGTTAGTTTTTATATATATATATAAGAGGGAATATGCGAGATGACTTGACACCTCTCTTTGGTCAAGAATCCTATTTATCTTTTTTCTCTTTTTTTTGGAGATTTTTTTATCTATTTTAATACAAAAAAAAAACTCATTTACTACCCACGGAAGTGAACTAAAGGAAAACAAATGAGGTTTATAGAGAGGTTTCAATTACGAAATATATAAAAATGTAAATACTGCTCAATTATAAGAGGATTTCAGTTATGGAGTATAAAAAAGAATAATTAACTAATTAACTTGTAACTGAAAATCACACTGATTATATAGGTTATCATTTTGCCCCGATTCAGATCAAACAAAATTAGTTGATTTAAGATTATTCCAAGCTTTGAAGTGTTTGTGCTGATAATAATGGAGAGTGAATGACGATGTATGCTTCAAGGGTAAAGCTTTCAAGGAGTACGAGTGTACGACAAAGAGGTACATAAAGAGAAATCTGATGATCCTGATATTCTAACTATAATATTCTTACTAATTTTTCTTTCTTTGTTACATATTCCCTTTTAAATGATATTTGGAGATAATCTTTTCTACTTTGTCAACATAGTGTTGGTCACGATATTAAATTTCAAGAAGAGGAGAGCTCGGCAAGTTTATCTTTACACTTCAAAAAAGGTTTTTAGATATATGGGTAGTGAATTTTAACAATCGTGGCATAATTTTATTTGTCAAATGGTAGGAGGCCTCATCTTTTTGTGATATTTCTTGGTGGATTATATTCAAGCTAAGTGTCTGTTTATGCAAAATGACTTTGTTTATTGGAATATAAACTGTGTGTTTTCCTTTATCTACCAATTATTTGATTGTTTGATCTTTTTCGTTTTTATTTATTTATTGTGAAATAAGCGAGGGTAGTAAATAGTTGTAATCAATCAATTAGAACTTTTGTGTTCTCATTATATAGTACATCTTATTCTCAAAGGTATATAAAAAGAATAAATATCGGGGAACAAAAAAAGTGACAAGGTTCTCGCCTTTTGATTTTTCAAGCAATCTACATAACTTAATTATGCACCCTCTTAACCGTTCCAATTAATTCTTACTTTAGTACTAGATTATTTTTTGCTGCTTACCATCCTTCAAAGCTTAAATTTGGCTCATTTTTACCGACGTTTCTTTTGAGAATAATACTTGGACATACCGTGGAAGGGAGTGTGTCTTCTTTTAAAAAATTGTTAATTCTTTGTGTTAAGTAAGTTAATTTTTTTAAGTAACAAATGGTTGGAACTTATTTATGTCTGATACGAGGATTCTAAGAATGTTACTGTAGAGACGGTAATCGAAAATCAATAGGAATCTAATTATATTCTCTCGCTTTCTTAATATAAAGTTGTGCTCATAGATTCTGTTTTGTGCATATATATGAAACTATTTTTTGTTACAACATATAATTTACATATATATGTATGACATCTGGATTTACTGAAATATTATGTGTGTGTATTGAGTCAATGGATTCCTTTTGGTGTGTTAAGTGCCAGGATGATTTGTTTATGAATGAAAATGTATTGTACGTCTTATTGGTTCTCCCCCAAAATCTGAAAATATATTACCAGATTTGAGTGTATGTCGTTACATGACTTGTTTGAAAATTTATTTTTGTTCTTTCTGTGCAGTATTGCTATTATTTGTTTTTAATTTCCCGAAAATGAATAGGTTTGATTAAAGATAGAAATAAAATGATTTAAATAGAGCAGAGTGAGAATTAATAACTTTTTCTCCTCCTCCTCCTCCTCTTTTTGCTTCTTCTCCTTTTCCATCTTCTTCTTTGTCTTTATTTTGTCTTTTATTTTTTAGAAACAATGTGTTTATGTGTATTTTTACCTTGATTGTTTGGTATCGATCATATTTCGCATTCTTTGTATTTATATAATATCGTAAAGTAAAAAAATTATAGCAATACAATTAAAACTAAACGTTGAGATGAACTTTGATTAAATATTCTAGAAGCAATATTTTCTCAATTTTATTAAGTGTTTTAAGAGTTGTTATACTTTCTCTCTTTTTCTTAAATATCGTATTTTGGAAATTCAATAATATTCCAAATACAGAAGTAGAGAAAAGGAATGAAAATGAAGGGTAATGCAAAGATATTATAGAAATACAAAAACTAAGCCTTGTGTTGATTTTTTTATTTATTTATGTAACAACCCGGCCGGTCGTTTCGAGAGTTATAGCCCTGTTTTCCCTATTTCTACTTCTTTTTGTGTTATTCAGCTATATTATGTTATATCGGGTTAGNGATGTAACGACCCGGCCGGTCGTTTCGAGAGTTATAACCCCATTTTCCCCATTCCTACTTCTTTTTGTGTTATTCAGCTATATTATGTTATATCCGGTTAGTTGGTTCGGGTCCGGAAGGAACTCGGAGTGAAATGAGACACTTAGTCTCATAATTGAAAAATTAAGTTAGAAAAGTGGACCGGATATGGACCTTTATGTAAACGATCTTGGATTTGAATTTTGACAATTTCAATAGCTCCGTATGGTGATTTTGGGCTTAGGAGCGTGTCCGGAATATTATTTGGAGGTCCGTAGAGGAATTAGGTTTGAAATGCCGAAAGTTTAATTTTTGAGAAGTTTGACCGGGGGTTGACTTTTTGATATCGGGGTCGGAATCCGATTCTGAAAATTGGAATACCTCTGTTATGTCATTTATGACTTGTGTGCAAAATTTGAGGTCAATCGGACGTGATTTGATAGGTTCTGAAGTCGTTTGTAGAAATTAAAAATTTCAAAGTTCATTAGGCTTGAATTGGGGTGTAATTTATGGTTTTAGCATTGTTTGAGGTGATTTGAGGGTTCGACTAAGTCCGTATGATGTTTTAGGACTTGTTGGTATATTTGGTTGAGGTGCCAAGGGGCTCGGGTGAGTTTCAGATGGTTAACGGGTTGGATTATGGACTTGGAACTCTGCTGGAATTTTTCTGATGCACCATCTGGTTTCCTTCATCGCGTTCGCGAGTGGAGCCTCGCGTTCGCGAAGAGGAACTGAGAGGCTGGCAATATTTGCTCTTTGTATTCGCGAAGAGAAGAACGTGTCGCAAAGGATGGACTGGGTGTGTATCGCGAACGCGAGAGGTGTTACGCGTTTGCGAAGAAGAGAGGAAGCAGCCGAGGACCCCTGGCAATTGGTCTACGCATTCGCGTAGGGGGTGTCGCGTTCGCGTAGTGAGGGGGAAACGAAGCATCGCGTTCGCGATTGGTTGGACGTGTTCGCGTAGAAGGCATTGAGGCAGAGGCATTTTGTGCTTCGCGAACGCGAGGGTGATGTCGCGTTCGCGAAGGAGGAATTTGGACGGGAGCTATTTTGTGCTTCGCGAACGCGAGGC